CCAAACGGAAACTCATCGATAAAGAACAAGTCTTGCAAATGTCCTGATAGTTTTCCATCTGAAGTTATTGTTTTATTTTGGTTTTCTGCATCTATTTGAAAAAAGAATCGTTTACCCACAGTTTTTTCAGCATGTTTTTTAAGCGCTGCTATTTTTTCATTTAAAATCTGTGTGGGCGGCTCCATATTGGCCGGTGCGCGAAGCATGCGCTAAAATATCTTTTAAGAGCACGTCAAAAATTCTCAATTTCATATGCAGTGTATCGAGAACGTAATCTTTATAAGTAAACAGATCACCAAATAGTGGTTCACATTTATATCCTAAATCGTTGATTTTTCCGTTCTTCAAACACTCTTTTTGTTCGTCTAGTGAACGAGCTAATTTAGTTACATCATGATACGATGTGCCACTAATTCTATCTGTTTTTGTCACTTTATTTTTGCCCGTGCCTTCTGTGACAGATTTATCATAAGCAGTTTCTTCAGTTATATGAAGATCATCTTCACAGAAACAAAACAAGAAGAAAAGAAAGGCTATGTTCGTTTAACAAAGAGCGGGTGAAGAATATTACCGCTATTATGATCGACATTATTACTGTCACTGTCATCATCGGTCGCGTTTGTTCGACTAATTTCATCACCTTCGCCATTGCTCTCTTCTTCTGCCAAACCAACATCCGTTAATATTTTCGTCAATACTGGATCTTCATCTTTCCACCACTGAAATATTCGCTGATATGGTTTGGCAGAAGAAGAGAGCAACGGCGAAGGTGATGAAATTAGTCCAACAGACGCGACTGATGATGACAGTGACAGTAATAATGACGATCATAATAGCGGTGATATTCTTCACCCACTCTTTGTTAAACGAACATGGCCTTTCTTTTCTTCTTGTTTTGTTTCTGTGTATAAGTTTTTTATGCAGAAAGAATATAGTTTTGTCACAAGTTGGATTATCAAGGATTGGCTAGATAAAAAGCTGCACTCTGCCTGCGTTCGGCCCGGTTTATAAATCTCAACTAGGGTTAAAGTTTATAACTCGGACTATTTATAACTAATTTAAATTTTTATTAAAAGTTAAAATAGTTATACATGGTTGGAGTTATAAATATTTATAAATCATATACTTTTAAACTCTTCAGTGGCTTGGGTGAATGTGGATTAGACGAAACTAGCGACCACATTTCCGTAAAACAGCAGATATCGACCTTAGAAGCCCAGATCGATTTTTAGCAACAAATACAAACTTCCTTTTCTGCATCACTGCCGAGGTCAATCAATGCTGTTCGAAACAATGCTAGAAATTTTGCAAAATCATGTTCAAGGTCTTGAAATTCCTATTCATTGTGGCAGTTGCACAATATCCCCTTTTGCATGCAAAAAATAAAACGTCATCAGTTTCATCAGATCATCTAACTATAATATTCGGCAGATGTATAACTTATGCAGTTTACTAGCTTGTGTTCTTCTTCTGCGTTGGGTTATCTGAGTACAACTCCTATGCCAACCGAAGGAGAATATAAGATTCGAATGTTATCAAAACAGGGATTATTAAGTTTCTTCTTTGAAAAATTTTAGGGTTATTTCAACAAGTAACTGACAGACCCTGTAGAAATTGTATTTGTTGTTTCTTCTTTCGTTCTCTACTCTGTCATTGATAACCTTCAACAACTCTTTCTTTTCTCTTCTTGATAAAATATATTTTTGTGTTAGTTCATGTTAATAGTTTCTGTATTATGTTGTTAGTTGTTGTCTGTAATGGACTTGATAGATAAATAAGAGAAAAAAATAATAACGTTCACATTTGATTATTTTCAACAAATTATTGTTTAAAGTTAAACAAACGAGAAGCATTTCAGAACAGGATGTGGTTTTCTCTCTCTCTCTCTACTTTCAGATATATTGTTCTTGTTCTACATACATGCAGTTGAGAGATCACAGTTCGCTACCAAGCCATTATTGGCGTCACCTCCACAATCAAACTGGTCTTTTTGCAAACCGTTCATCTACGGGAGGAGGACTTAGAACGCATTGCGCAACCGCAAGATCATCCAGTATTCTGAACACTTTAGCTCCCCACGTGCAGCAAACCATCTATGCCGGAGCTAAAGATAAGCGCAGGGGTCAAAATCATAATGCGTTGTACCCAATAAGCGTTGCACAGTATCGGGCATTGGAAGCTTTAGGCGTGTAAAAGATATGCATCGTGTCAGTTTTTAGTTGATGTATTTCATCTAAAAACTGACTTTGTCGTGAGTGACTACCGTCGTGCAGCATCTAACATTCAGTTTCGTCTTTTCGAGAAAAAAACGAAAATTGAAAATGAAGAAACACGTGCCTTGTTTTTGCGCATTCGCTTCCAACGAAAGGCGCCCGAGTTTATAAAACCGTAGTTTTATAAACAATCGCCCAGCCTCCGTTAGCAGAGCGCTAAGTATATCCTGAGTGAGCTCTGCGCTGCATCGACAGTAAATAATCTGATGCGGTTTCCGCGACAAACCAAATTCTGGTGGGAGAAATCAGGAAGTTTTAACAGCATTTACCAAACTTCATATTTCCACTTTATCGCTTCTTCTCTCCTTAAAAACTTCTTGATTGACACGAATACCAACAAAAACTCATACGGCAAAGAACGACAATGACATTATTGTGCTTTGTAAGTCAGATTAACCTCTCTGCTGCCATTATTGCTGCTGCTGCTGCTCATAGAATCGCTGCTGCTTGTATTTCAGTTTTCATTTTATTTTTTTGCACAGGATCTGAGTGGGGAAAAGATCCGCCTACCTTTTGTTGATATTGACGTCAGTATTCTTATTCATACTGATTTAAATGTATGTTTAAGTTAATATTGATTTGTTAGTATAAATATGAGGTAGGATGGAGAAATCGGCGATCGAGATCAAATCACGCTTACCAATATTTGAATTTCAGGCAGAAAAAATTCTTTTTCTCTTTGCCTTTGTTTTATTATTTTTTAGCTTCAAGCAAATCAAACAAGAAGAAATCCGAAAACCTGCTATTTTATCGGTTCAAATGTCTTTTGCCACTGCATTTACTTGCATGTTTAAGCATTTCGCCCGATTTTATCTCAGGTTTAGGATAGTTCGTCGATGGAACAATTATTGGATTGTTTTTCTCCAACATATTTTCTTTTTTTAATAAATAAAATGAAAATAAAAAGGGGGAGACGAGAGAAAGAAAGAGAGATGTATACTGAGATCATCACACTGATCTCAGTATGACTGAGCATGACAGAGCAGAGTAAGGCAGAGTAAGCACCAGAGAAGGGCAGAATTAAAGCTTCAAAGTATAGAAATCGGATTGCACATATAAAAAAATGATTAGCGCAAAATTTTGGTTAACGCCAGAGGATGTTAATTTTGAAATACTCACCCTCTAGGTAGCGCCACCATAACAGCGCGACTTGTAATGACTTCTCACATAAATTGCATCAGGGATTAACCATTATTTTGTGATAACCATTTTTTATATGGGCAATCCGATATCTGTAGTTTGAAGCTTTAATTCTGCCCTTCTCATGAGGTCCATTACGGTCATAGACCAAATGGTAAATGATGAAGTAAAAGATATTCGCCGTGCGTGCTCGTTCTTTTATCAGAAATCAATTTGCCAGGCCATTATTTCCATTCAAATGATCCGAATGCTCCAAATGATTCGTTTGATCCGAGTGATTCGTTCATAGTTTTGACGGCTTCCCTTAAATTAATTTTAAATAAGAATGTTTTTATAAAATACTTATAATATGCGAATAATTAAGTTTTGTGTTCTTAATTATCTGCTTCCTCTGCTCTCATAATGTACCGAATGGTTTGCAGGAGTTAGTCAGACTCAGAATCAGTGACAGTAAATTTGCCGGTGTATGCATGTCATAACGGAATGATGACTTCACAAACAATACGCATACAAACGTACCATATAGAACTGAACGACCTATGTGCAAGAACGACTAGCACGTGTTTGGGATAATGCGATCGAATTGCTGTATGACAATAAAAATACATTTAGAAATGGATGACCTTTGAAATACCTAAAAAGCTGATTCTAAATTCTCTCCTTCGTGCAGTGTTCTGACCATTATAATGCGAGTAATAGATTCGATCCACTTTCTTAATAAAATAAGAGTGTCTCAACACTTTCATAATGCACGGAGCAAAATATGTGTCTTCATAATTTTCTTCCACTTTAGATGCAAAATGAAAATCTGATGAATTATAGATGTTTTGGGCCATTCTTGCGTGACTATCTTTGTCAACTTTAGAATGGAACATTGAAATTGATCGATATTTGTACAAGGTAAAGATTCAACTATTGTGAATGAAGTTGTGACTTTCGTCAAAATTTTATTTTATAGAGCAACAGCAGAGTTAGCTGTATAGTTCGGTGTCTTGAATCTCTGTCTATTCTACCTTTTCTGTACAGAACTTTAATTTTTGTATATTTTATACTATATTTATACATATTTCTGTCTGTCATATCAAAATCTGCAGAATATTTCTAGAGAAGCGACCCTCGAGATTTTTAGATATTCGGAACCAGCGCGACGGGTTACGCTGTACAGCGCAAAGATCTCGTCGGGATCTCGACATTTTTTGGATCCGACGGCTCCGCTGGAGGTTTTCAAGATATATTACGCTATATTCAACAGTAGACATAAAATACACTTCGTTTACTTTTCTTTTCTTCGATCTTATTGTTCTTCTGTCTCATATATTTCTCATCGTGACGCGACTATTCCGCGATTGACGCTTCCGCGAATTGACTTTGGTGCCAGGGTGCAGTGTGAGAGTGAGTTCGAAAAAAAACGCATTCGCGGAAGAGTCGGTTCGCGGAAAAGTTGGTGTATCATTTCTCATATATGTCTTAGGTGCTCGTATATATATGTGTTTTCCGTAATTTTTCTCAAAGAACAAAATAAGAAAAGGAAAAAATGTTATACTTTTATTGAGACGTTCATTTATTCTATGTTCGAAAGAAGCAGTACTCACTGTGAATTTATCCTGTTTTCTGCCAGCTTCTCGAATTAAAATTAAATTAACTAGAGAGGATCCATTTCCATTTTTTAAACAAGTTTGGAATATACAAGTTGTGCTATATCTTAATCTGCTTTTTAGAAAAGGGTCTCTTTTAGTTTTTAAAATATGTAGCTCTCAGTATCGCTGCTTAACCTTTAAAAAATAACACTTTCTTCGTTTATATTCGGGTTTTAAATAAACTCTTTTTTACGATCACCCTGACTTTCAGATTTTCTCTTCGGGTCGTCATAGTCAGATGGAGTGTCAGCAATTTACTGGACTTGGCGTGTCTTCTCTGTGTAGCTAGTAAGTATCAAGTGAATTTGATATGGGGAAGTTAAAAGCAAAATAATCAGAGAGAGAGCGAGGGAGAGAGAGAGAGAACATACATGAAACAAAAATTATTTTTGCAATTTGGCTATGTTATACACAGTACGAATATTATGATTTGAAACTTGAATTAGATTTGCAGTTCCCTGCCCGGATGATAAGGGCTTGCTGTAATGAAAAGACTTTAATATCAACAAAGAACAATTTAATTCTCTAAAGCTGGTTGCGTAGAGTATAAGATTTGTAGTTCCCTGCCCGGATGATAACAACTGGCGAATCTAGCACAACGGCGGTCCGGCGACCGCCGCCCCCTAGCAAATAGAATTCTAATGCAAGTACACCACAGACATTCTTAGAAAAAATATTCATACTACCTCGGACGACATCGTTTAGAACTCGCCATTCCGTCCGTAGATTCCTGGATCCACCACTGATGATAACGGCTTGCTGTAATGAAAAGACGTTAATATCAGCAAAGAACAATTTAATTCGTTAAAGCCGGGTGCGTGGAGTATAACTCGTGTACTTCAGTTCGACGTAAAAACCATAGTTAAGTACATTCTCGTTAAGTTTAAGTTGGAAAGTTGACGTAATTAAGGGTAATTCAGACTGACTGATGTCTTGTTATATGAATAATTCTATAAAAATATAAAATTCATGTTGGAAACAATAAATCCTATCTTTCAGAATGAAATATAAAGAATAAAAACTTTTCTGTTTAAAACATGTAGTCGATTCGTCGTAAACTCTCCCTCCCCTCTTCATAATAGAAGACCACGTGGTCTTCTATTTTGTCCGGAAAGTCGAATTCTAAAGGATGGTCTTCTGTTGCGATCAAAGGTTGAAGAATTACCAAGGGGAAAACAGCTGATTTTTGTCGATTGTCATCAAACGAAAAGTCACCTGAAATGACTGGAAGTCATTGGAAATCACATAGAGTCACTGAAAATCCATTGATTTTGGGTGATTTTCGACTGATTTCGGGCTGAATTCAATCAGCCGTTTCCCCCTTGAGAATTACTCACCTTATAATAGTGCATCTTTTGATAGTTCCAGACTCATAGGCACTGACGACCAGAAGAGTCCTGTAAGAAGCTTGTAAGACACTTGTAAGATACTTAGACGTTTCTGGTAAGATTCTTATATAAGAATCGATGTCTACCTTGGGTGACTCTCTCCTACTTCTGTCAACCACTTGGTTTTTCAAAAGCTAACGAACAAAAACAACAATACTGTGGTGCCAGCTTCCATTATTCATGTACAGTCAGCCCATGATATGGAAGAAGAAGCTGGAGGAATACCTACAGTCTCAACATAATCAGACCACGCTTTTCCTTTTGCACTTGTGCCTTTTGCTTTTTGTGAGTAGCATTCTCGTTTACTTTTCTATCATTTGTCCAGATTCCGTTATTAAAATATATAAGGCGCGGCTAATTCAAAAGAGGAGCATGTTTTTATTTTTGCCTTAAAAGCCCATCACTCGATGCAGAATTTCGTGCTGATTACGAATATCACCTTTTTAGTTCGATTTGATTATAATATTCGTTCGAGATTCGCTGAAAATTTTTGAATTTTTAATCCACATTATCCAAAGTAACAGTTGAACAGCGTTGAAGAATGAAGAGAAATTTCATATTTTCGGGTGTCCAACTATGGACCTTGACCTGCATGTACACTCTCTGAAAAACTGTTAAACACTTTCCAGAGAGCAAATATTAGCAGAGTCTGGAA